TTGACTGGCAGTGTCCCTGTAGTATTTTATGATTTTAAAGTGTTTAGCCTCACAGCGAGCAGGTCTGAGTTACCATTTGTTTGAGCAGTAGGGGAGGGGAGCCTTCTCTGTATGCATAGATCTCCTCTTCGTGATTAGATCGGCGTGCATCGCTATCGCCCCGGGCAACTGGATGAGTGTACGGCAGCGAGGCGATGAGCCAGGACCACCGCTGGGGATACTCATGTGTGGAGAGCTGCTGTGAGTGCTGTGAGCGCGGGGGCAGCCTCTGAACCCCCGCCAGCTCACCCCCGCCAACTCACTGCTCTATTCCCCATTCGCCCGTTAACGTGTTCAAACGCCCGGGTTTCACACATATGACAGTCATTCTGATGCACAGGGCTCCCACAGGCACAAACGAGCAAGCTCATATGCATAAATAGGGGATTGCCTCCTATCCATACGGTCTCCTCCTAAACTACTGCAGCCTGGGCTAATAAAAAGAGTGTAAAAATATATATACCACACACTAACATTTTGTATTTTTTTTATTATTTTATCAACTTAAAGATGCATTGCGTAAGTTTTCTGGTGCAGGGTATGGTTATTTTTTTGTCTGGTATGGTATTAATCCTCTCAATCTTTATGGAGACCACACCAGACCAGGTTACAGGTCAGATCTGTGGAGAGGCAATCCCACTCACAATCAGAATTCCTACGTATTTTTGAGTTATAAAACCACATGTAATAAATAAAAAATTAAAAAAAAAGTAAGGTAGAGTTGTCTGCTGTTTAATGTCATACTGTCATATTGTGGAACATTCCAGGCAGAGCATTAACATATCCATAGAAACAAGCAGGTGATGGACTCTCCACCAGAAAAGTTACACAATGCACCTTTAACAAACAACCCAAGTGTCAACATATCAACACAACAGAACAGACAACAGCTTGGACATCTCTAATGCTATATAAAAATAAAATAATAATAATAAAAATAGAAAATGAAAAATATTTAAAAATATTGGAGGTGGTGGGATGGATTTCAAGGAATAAAAGACAAGATTATAAAAAGAAAATAACCTACAAGAGTCCTTTTAATGGTGCAGTGGAAAGATTTGGCCAAATGTAATCCAGAAATGGGTGCCACACTCTGCAGAACTGATCTCCATTAACATGAATAATGACAAACATTGTGTCTTTAAGCAAGACACTTCACACAGGTTGCCTCTGGTGTCTTGGGAACCACATGAGTAAATGATTGTATTATTAGTTGTTTGGTATTTGAGGAGGTCTTTGGTCTATTTCCCCTGATCTGTTACTCCTTAAGATCAGTTGTTCAGTTAAAGCTCAGACCAAATGAATACTGTTGTTGTGTCTTTGTGCAAGACACCTCCCTTGCCTGTGTAGAATGATGTGTGTTATTAAGGGTTTAGTTGTGGTCGGAGGGGCAGAGGGTGTAGATTGTCAGCGTCACATCTGTCAGTCTACCCCGGGGCTGGTGTGGTTACAGAAGAAGCTTACCACAGAGTATGAAGGGAATGAATTATGATACTAGACTTATCAAGCCTGTATAGTGCAATACTAGACTTAGACAAACTTTATTGATCCACAAAATTATTTAGACACAGTAGCTCACACATCACAATATAATATAATAACAAAGAGCAATAATATAAATGGTAACAATACATTCAAAATAAGTAGGGAAATAGCGCCGAGACTGGTGAAATAAAGCATATTTACATAAATGTATATGTACAAGTAAAAATAAAATATAGAAATATAGTACTGCAAATATATCTCAGCTATAGATTGAAGATCAGTGCAAAGATGAAATAATCATTGACAGGTCAGGTTATCTGTTACAACCATTTAAATCTATGATGAAGGCAACCACCAAATTTGTCCCAAGGGGACAACTACAGCTTCATTAATTTGGTAACATCAAAACTAGCACCAGATTAAGTCATTTCACTATTGTTTCTTAAAATTCCACATGTAGTCCAAATTAAGGATTTTTTTTTATTTTTATTTTTTTATTATATATATAAACAAGTCAGCCTTGTTAATTGTTCTGTGTTAGTTGTGCTTTCGTGCAGTGATCTTACTCACAGGTGATCAGTGGGAGCATCTGGAGGGACTGAGCTGTGGCACTGAGGTTAAGTCAAAGAGGTTTTAGGAATTTTATTCTAAGTTTCAGTATTGGTTTAAATTGATAATTGCTTGTATTACTTCTGATATTGTGTGGTTGTGCTTGTAAATAGTAATCTTAAATATTTCTCTTGATTTATAACTGTAACTGTGTATTTTACACTTGTTTTTTCTGTTGGTGTCTTTCAGGAGAATGGACTGTTAAATTTCATAATTGTGAGAAGATTGAACAGAGAACAGTTGCAATGCAGCAGTGCTAGATAATTTTGCTTTTTTTTTTTACAATTTAGAATTGAGCTCTTATTAAAATAACATGCCACTGCATTCAACTCCCACAACTCACAGCCGCAGTACAGCATAAGCAACTTTTCAATCTTTGCCTTATTCAGGTGAAAGGTCAACTGTAGTGTTCCAGTAACACAAGAGTCCCAGAGCAGAGGAGCAGCACAGACAAGGCGTAGAGTCATTTGAACTGTTCATGTTTAAGTCTTTGGTGAGCAGCTTTTCTTGTCGTTGCCCGACAGCCACGGGCACATTGACCATTAAGACACATGTCAGTCTTTGTGAGGCTTATGTCCACTTGAGCAGAGGACATATCAGCAGAGGGCTCAGAGTCTTTCTTTTGTGGATGGGTGTCACGTACTGTACTGATACTGTACTGATAGCTTGTAAGAAAGTTTCCTGAGATTCCTGCCATTTAATCACTTCAAACGATAAAACTTTATAATATAAATCTTGAATATGTGATGTCAGGCTTTGCTCCGTGTCCACGCTGTCACTGTGTTGTGAAAAGAATCTGTGGGGTTTATAGTATACTGTAACACAGGTCTGTCTAAACTGTCTTATGAGACTAATAAAGACATGGCTAGATCTGGTTTAGGCCAGGTTTAGACATAGGCTAGACCTGGTTTAGGCTGGGTTGAATCCTGCACTAGATCTATCTTAGGCTGGGTTTAGTCCTGGGCTAGACCTGGTTTATCCCTGGTTTAATCCTAAAGTAGCTCTGGTTTAGGCTGGGTTTAGCCCTGGGCTAGACCTTATTTAGGTTGGATTTGACCTGGGCTAGGCCTGATTTAGGCCGGGTTTAGGCCGAGGCTAGATCTGCTTTAGGGTGGGGTTAATCCTAGGCTAGACTGGGTTCTTATTCATAGTGAATAAATGCATTTTTCTCAAGATGAATTCATTAAAAAAATGTTGTAGTATGTTTGTGTGCAGGTGTTTCTTGTTGGTTAAAAAAAAAAAGCTCAAAATGCAAGGGAGATAGATTTGTATAATGCCACATTATGGAACATTTCAAGTTGCCTGATTTGTGGGACCTTACAAGTCATTTGGCCAAAACACAGTTAAAATCATTATATTTTAATCTCCAGCAGTTTCTGGCATGTACTTAATCTCTGACTCTGATTTTTGGACTCGAAAAAGACACAAAATTGACTCTTAGCCATGTTAGAATGTTGTTACCTAATTAAAAACATATCTGGAGTTGTGATTTGTTTCATTAATGTTTGAATAACCCTTTATAATTAGGCTGTCTACATCTCCAAAGCTCAAAATGCTCTGTTCCACCTTGTGTTATCATGTTGCCTTTTACCTTTTGTTCAGCAGAAATTTCCTGTATTACCACATGACATCCCAAAGTGGAACAGAGAGAAAAGAGCTCATCTTAAATATGCAGGTTTGTGTGTTAAACACGTGTGAATGAAACAAAACACAACTCCAGGTATGTTTGTGATGAAGAAACAACATTATAACATGGATCAGAAAACAGCGTAATCTGAACCCTTTAATTTCACGTTTATAGCCCTGGGATGATTTCTAACATGCTTATCACATAGATGCACAGTCATTTTCATCAGTTTTGTCTCCTTCTGTTGCTCATCGTGCCATGTTCTCGTGTGTTTTTGCTCGGAGCGAGCCCCCAGTGCAGCAGTGGGTGGTAAACTCAGACGACACCGATCCAGTCTGTTCAGATTCAGATGTGAGCGCACAATTAGACACATCAGCATGACTCACTGGGAGGCTTCTCAAAAGGAGGACTCTGCTTAATAATGTTTTCTGTTTCATCATCGGGCTTACAGGAAAATGGGAAATCTCCAAACTGCACAAATGCAATATTCAGTGAGTAATACCGGCTTTATTAGGGCTGCGGAATTAATCTAACACATGAATCAGGATTATAATTACGAAAAATCTATCTACTTAGTTATGCTCTGAATGATTTCCGCACTCAAAATCTGACACTAAATCACTCAAGTCAAATTTACACTGGATTTCAATGGGGCCAACCAGGCGGTGAACCCTCTACTGAAAAAGTTACATAGTGCATCTTTAACTTGACATAATCTCTGATCATCTTGAGTTCAAATGTAAGGATTTTTGCTGTAATCTAGCAGCCCCAGGACAAAATAAAAAGGCCTATCAGCACCTTAAGTACCATGAACAGCTCCTTTAAATGCAGCTACTTCCATCAGACTTAGACTTAGACAAACTTTATTGATCCAAAAAGGGAATTTTTTTGGATACAGTAGCTCAAATATCACAATATATTATAATAACAAAGGTCAACAATATAAATGCATACAAATAAAATACAGAAATAGAGTAATACAACTATTTCTCAGCTATATACAAGAGGGAGGAAGTAGAAACAGTGCAAAGGTGAAATAGTGATTGACATGACATAAGTTTATCTATTACATAACGCTGATTTGTTGTACAGCTGTATGGAGTATATTATGTGTTTACTGTTTTTAAAGTATATTTTTTTAAGCAATGCAGAGCCGATATTCTGTTTTTACTGTACCCACTTTTATTTATATTCAAGTACATCTAATTCTGACTTTTTATATCCTGTGCTTTTGTTCCAGATCACAGCCTTTGACGAGCTTCAGGCCGACTTCAAGGTCCCCATCGATCAGGGAAACCCTCTCCACGCGGTACGTCTCCTGTACTATTTACATTTACCATGTTTGGTTTTTTTTACCCTCGTTTATTTAAACATAGCTACACACTTACACTTTTGTATTCCTGGCTGTATTTATAATTTCTCATATATTGCTTTTACTGACATACTGACATTAAACATAAATAACAAGAATACAAGAATTCTCTCTGCGATTAGGGTTGCCTCTCCACAGATGTGACCTGTATTGTAACCTATAGTTGTCTCCCTTGAGATAGATTAGGTAGATTAGATAGGTTTAATCTCTACAGTGGAACATTCAACAAAGTAATAGTATTTCAGTGAAGACAAGCAGGTGACGGACCCTTCACCTCCAGAAAAGTTGCTCAACACAGCTTATAATAATTCATGAAACGAGCACTTGATAAGAAGTAGAATTTCAAGATAATAAACCATTCATCAGTGCAATTGCCATAGCCTAGTGTAAATCGCGATACTGCAGCTTTTTCAGCTTTGTATTTGACACTGGTCCCTACACTGAAGAGCACCAAAAGGACAATTTTGCACAATCTGTGTACATCCAAGTAGCACTCCTGCCCCCTAAAGTTTTACAGAGATACTGCAGTTTTGTAAACAAAGCCCATGTTTCTGTTCTGTTTATTTTGTACAGTATTTTCCAGAGCTGTGTGTTTGTGATTACAGGAGGCAACACTGTATTTTACAATGCACCATTCACAGCCTCGTAAAGAGGATTAGCCTGAATTCACTGCAGTGTGAAGGGAATATAGGATTATCCAAATAATTAATTTTATTCTTGTTTAATTTATTATTTTTAGTTAAGAGCACTTGCACACAAATTGCACACTGTAGGATATAAAATTCTGAATGTAAATTATTTGAGGAAAAAACACAAAGAAATGTATGGTTTGATTTTATTATTTGTTTTGTTAGTTTACTAGTATATTTTGATTTAAAGGTGCACTGTGTAACTTTCTGTCTGTCACCAATGTTGTGCTGTAAGCTATTAAACTTATCTATCTCCATGGAGACAAGTAGGTGATGCCACCAGTCCAAGTTAAAGGTTAGATCTGTGGAGGGGCGAGCTCACTTACAGTAAGAATCCAACCAGCACGAGAAGTGACACAGTGCATCTAATATATTTTATTATATATATATATATATATATATATATATATATATATATATATATATATATATATATATATATATATATATATATATATATATATATATATATATATATATATATATTTTTATTTTTTTTTAAATAGGGAGTGTGTGTGGGTGAAACACTGTGTTACGTCTCCCTGTAAATCTAGTTTCCCTTGGGGCTTTAAGCTCACCTCTGCTGGTCTTAATAATGCATGGAAGTTTGGAGGTGACTTTGACTTAAGAATGGACTGGTATCGACTGGAGAAAATAGTCTGGGATGAGAGGACACAAAGGATGGACTGAAATCTGATGGAAACAGAAAGATATTGTTTTTAGAAGAAATGACAGTTTTAACATTAAAGTTTATTTTAATACAGCGATGGTGCAGGTTACAATCTACCACTACACATGATGTTTTGATTGGTAATGATAATCGACTGAAACTATTTAAAGGCTCTGTAACAGTTTTTTCTTTGTATTTGAGCCAATTTTGTCTTACTCCAGTATAAATGTATTTATTTAATCCGCTGTGTCCTCTCTGCATCTAGTTATTAAGTATCAGGAAGCTTGTGTTAGCATGCCTGTTGTTGTTTACTTTACTATGACAGCGATTATGATCTCTCTGGCCTCTGAAAGTCGTGAAATGTGCCTACAAACTCACTACGGTGAATAATTAGGATACTCTGAATTCATGAGACAAATAAGGAATACGTTTGGACCACTACTGCAAACAGCATCATTCTGTAGTGAAAGAAAAATATTGTGTCTTTGACGATCTTAAATTGTTGAATAGGTTTTGGTCCACAGAAGCACAGTTTGTAGATCACTATGATGTGTAGTACAGAGAACATTAGCATACTTATGGCAGCATTTAGCTGGAGGTGGTCCTGAGCCAACAGTCTTCTCTAGTCGTTACCTCTCTGTTACCTTTTCAGGGTCTCTCTCTTAGTGGACGCATTGATTTATACTGACTGAGTCAGACGGGGTTCATCCTGACACACAAATCTTCATTGTTAGCTGTCTGTTTTTGTAACAATGATGTTTGGAGTATTTTTTTTTTTTTTCATTATACAAAAAAAAATGACTGAAAAGGCCATTCTTTGATGTTATTTGGCTTTGGTGCATTGCAGTATCATTCCTGTAACACTGAACTCGAGCATATTGATACTTTGCAGTGACGTCATGCTGGGGGTGTTCTACATGTATTGCTAATGGTGCAATGTTTAGGAGTTACCATGGTGACACAATGCACACATTGGCAAACACTGTCAGAAAGGTTTTGATTGTCTACAAAAAACTCAAGAAAAAACTCTAAATTGATTCAAACAACACATTTTCTGGAGCCAGTGATCAAACAAGTTTTCATGGTTTTGATTTTATGTTTAATTTTTTTGTTTGAGTAAATGAAAAACTGTTGGCTAATGTTAGATTGTGCCTGTAATGGTATTTGAGGAGGATTTGTTTGACAACAAGCTAATTTGTTGTAGTTCCAACTAAGTCAGTTCTTTATTGCCAGATTGTGTTAAAATGAAGCACAAATTAAAGTCTAATAAAACCTCAGACAGAGCAGAGCCCACAGTTAGCAACACACCTCCAGGGACTGTTGAGAGCATCAGCTGCACAGTAACAATAGGCAAGAATTATTGTGAGTTGTCTGTGGTGTCTTCTGTAGCCCCCAGTCCCCCTGCCCTGAACAGTGGGAGCAGAGAAAATGGATCATGGATCTCAGAGAGTGGAACTAACTCCAGGATTGTCCTGGTTATAGGGGAACTGGAGCAGGACCTTTCAAAGTGTTGCCACGGGTAATTCTTTTTAGCGCTATGGACCTTTTAGTCTATATATAGAACAGCTATGTTTAAATGTACACACCCCTATAGGCAGTAAAACTTACAGTATATTTATATTATGTTAGTTTTACTTTAAAGGTCCTATATTAAACACAATGTACTCTTGTGAGCTTTAAGTCAGGTTATAATGCTGTTACCTCATCAGACACATACTTGGAGTTGTGTCTTGTTTCATTTCCACATACTTGATTAATCCTTTATTTTTAGTCTATTATTGTCTACATCTCCAAAGCTCAATACTCTTTTCCACCTTGTGATGTCATGAAGTAGTAGTAATTGTCAAGTTACCTGCTATCTTTTACCTTTATTTTAGTAGAGGTTGGCAATTCCAGGTCTGAAATTATCCAAGTGATTCCAGTGAAAGTATATGGAGTTTAAAACACAATGGAGCACTTCCTGTATTACTTCACAAGGTGGTTTTCAGTTTGAGAGAAGAACTCAGTCTAAATACGCAGGGTTTGTGAGTTAAACATGTGCAAATGAAATTAAACACGACTCTGAGTATGTTTAGGATGACGAAACATTATAACAGAGATCAGAACATAGTGTGAAATAGTGTAATATGTGCCCTTTAATATTGATTGGACATAGCATTTTCACAATTGATATAGATGGCCTGTGTATACAGACTGATTCAATTAAGAAAATACCATGATATACAGAATGTACCCAAATTATGACATGTCCTTATAGTTAGATTCCACACTTTCTTATGCCTCTTTAAAGCATTGTAAGTAGAGGGTCAGTAGCGCATATAAAATTTAATCATATTGTGTAAGCTTACAAAATTTTACCTTTGGGAACATGAACTGGCAATAAATAATCTCCACTCATTAAAATAAATGAGGACTCCAGATAGTTGTAATGTTATATAGTCCACTCGTACATATAAACCAAGTACAATGTGTAATCTCCAGTGGTTCTTTCTGTGGGAGTACAAGGAGTCACATTACGAAATAGGCCTTTACATGGACTCTATTGTGTGTCTAATGCTTATTTCCAGTGTGAATGTTGCTTATAGAAGTGCAGGTGAGCGTTAAGAATCTAAATATGTAAACACCCCCTCCCTTATGTGCACAGCGGAGACACTCATGCATGTCTATAATGTGTTCTATAATAATAATGTAAACATCTGTAACACTGAGTCTGTCTCTGCAGGGAGAACATGCCATTATAAACGCCTCAATTACTCCTCATGGTTCAGCTCACACTTGTCCTGGTTTGGTCCTGGTTTGATCCCGGTTTAGTCCTGATAGAGACTTGGTTTAGTTTTAGTCCTGATTTAGTCACAGTCAAACAGTGTTGTCATGACTGAAATTTTAAAACACTTAGGAAAGGTTTGATAGATGTCTTTTCTCTCAATATTATCAGGCCTGTTGACAGAAATTTGGGAGGTTGGGGCAAGAAGCCTCACATGGGCCTCTCTCTAATATAAATGAATAGGAACAGGGTCCAATTCTGGGTCCCTAAGATGCCTGGACCTGGGACAATAGACCAACATTCCTGACTAGAAAGCAGTATTTGACACAGAACAATAGCAGTTCCATTAATATTATCATGTGGTCTCATATTTCTGAAATGGACCAAGATATTCCAAACTAGGAAAGTTTTCTGTCACCCACCGGTGGTCTAGTGCTGTTTTACTTCTGGGTTTTGTCCTGGTTTAATATCAAATCTGATGTAGTGTGAATGTAGCAACTGTGCTCAAGTAATTACTCTGACCAATCATAATGTTCCCATTTGGATTCAATTAACTTTGTGTAATACATAGATCTTATTTTTGGTCTTCCTTTCAAGGGCGTAGGTTTAGTCTCAGCTTTGGTATGTTTTATGAATTGTTTCCAAAAACACACAGAGTCTGGGCAGGTTCTAAATAAGTGAGAGGTGGTTTCATTTTTCAGTTTGGAAAATGTACAGTCCCTGACAAAAGTCTTGTCGCTTATCCATTTTGTAGAAACAAAAGCTTATAACCTGACTTTAAATTAATCGATTGGTTTTAGAAATGTCTCATATG